TGTTTCTAGAAGCTTCTTGTTCCTAGTAGTAAGGCACTTGTTACTACTAGCGTGGCACTTGTTTCCAGAAGCTTCTTGTTCCTAGTAGTAAGGCACTTGTTACTACTAGCGTGGCACTTGTTTCTAGAAGCTTCTTGTTCCTAGTAGTAAGGCACTTGTTACTACTAGCGTGGCACTTGTTGGGCACATCGATTCGGGATTTCTCCAGGAAGCTACTTGGCACACACACAGGGCAAGAAGCACCAGATCAACCTGGCCAGACGAGCAGCACGAGAGAAACAGGCGGAAGCGAGAGCCGGAAGGGCCGATTCGCCGAAATGGATCAAAATCACTCAAAATTGCAAATGACATGACCTTTTTTTTTGGCCCGCTAGGGGAGGTAGGCTGAGAAGAGGTAGTAGCTAGCTAGCTAGTAACTTACTTAAGATACTAGGAACTGGAAGCAGGATAGCGTTTGTACTAATGATTTGGTTTCTGGATTTGTAGGGAAACTCGCAAGCAGATTGAGCATTGTTGGGTCTCGAATTTTTGAAGCTTGTGCATCAGGATGCCACGATCCAGCCTCAACCTCAAACATCATCAGGCCGACGGCAGCCATCAAGCGGTTCTTTACGCTTCTTTGGTTTGCTGTTCCTTGACGCTCTTCCCACTTGCGTTTTGCCTTTTGCTTTGCAGGTCCTCGGAAGACCGTTAAGATTGGCAGGCCAGGTTATCGAGTCACCAAGGACGGGAATCGATCGAAAGGAAGGAGTGCGAGTCGGTGGTGCTACCGTCTTCGCCTACCGGTACTACGTCTTAGAAAGGAGAGAAAGATGAAAGGAATGTAAACCTCTCTAACCAGAAGTTGTATACATAATGTGAAAGTGGTATACAAAAGCAACGTATATGGATTTTACTCAACATCTACAATGTTTTAACTACGTAAACACAAAATGTTGCAGGTGACGCAATACGGTGACATTGGGGTGCATACTTGGTGGTTATATTCACAATGACCAGTTTCACTGCTCATACTGACTATGATCAGCAGGTGGGTTTCCAACTGGAGTCTTCGTCATTTTCACTACAGTATTTGTTTTAAGCATCTTACAATGTGAGGTCATGCTTCAAGCCTAATATACAAAAAGCCCAAACCATGCAGAATATGGCCAAACGAGAAGTGGGCAATCCATAATTTGATCTTCGTAGGTTCATGACTTTTAACTCTACTGAAGGAGACATACTGAGTTAACCTTGGCAAGGAGGCTCCGAATTTTATTTGTGCTTTATTCAGGGGCTGCTGCCAGCAGGAAGGATTGGAAACAGCAATGTAGCTGAAGCTGCACAGTGACATGACAGGCCTGCACACACAACAAAAAGCATTTGCCAGACAGGGCATTTGGCTACATCACCACTGTGCAATTTAAGAGATGCAAAGACCAACTGTCCTTGCAACTTGTGCAATTTATGTCGTGTTGCACTAAGTGACCAAACTGTCCTTGCTGTTCGGGTTGGACCCTTTGGGGTGCAAACGAAGGAGTCAGATTGGCTAAGAGGGGAGTGATGACAATTGTAAGAAGAATACATACATACCCTTCACATCAACTAGGAAGAACACCAGGAAGCCCATTAAACTCACTAGGGCATACAAACCTGAAAGTCCAGCTCCACACCAAACCTCATTGAAGGTCTACTCTTTATCACCGGCAGAGACATGATTGGGTCCTACATGGGCCATATGTGTTACATTTTCAGTGGGCGTAAGTCTAACTGTACACAGTAGTCAAGCAGGAGCACAAACTCAACAAGTAGAGGAACAAACAGCAGGTTCTTGGTGCAAGGACTTGCCCATTGATTTCCAAAGGGTACAAAGGCATACATTATATACATTCAAGTTGTAAAAGTTGATGAACAGTTGATAAAAGTTCATGTTTAAAAAGTTGCAAACATGTCTGTAGAATATTTCATTGTTGATACAGTTGATGCAGGTGATCATTTCACAGCTCATTCACCATGGCCCACTACCCCACCGCATTCTTTTCCGCGCGCCCGGGACATCGTCAGTCGTGTGAACCATCGCAAAAATGCAGCTGGGCAGCTAGCAGAAAGTCAACTTCAAGATTTCCAATTAGGACTTCTCTGTCGCCTTTTTCAGGTCGCCACACCCTGGGCCCGGGCTTATTCCCTTCCGAATTGTTTCTCGGTCGCCCGAGTTTCTGCGTCCACCAAGCCACTCTTGCGGGCCTTGGGCCAGCTACAGCCAAAGGTGACGCATTGCTGCTCCGACATTGCGCTTCCCTGGTCCAACAGCCACGCAACTTGCAGTCTGCAGCGGTCCTGCAGTGCTTGGAGGCATGTTGCTCGGGCCACTTACTGCAACAGCTTACACCCAAGCCATCCCAAGCCACCCTTTCCACCAAATGCGGGGGCCTTGGTCTGCGCAGCGTATGCCGCCACAGTGGAGAAGCCTGCACTGCCTCCACTCTTTGCGCCTTGCTGTTCCGAGCCTGGACACCATCATCTCCAACCTCAACCAGACCTTGCTACCCGCTGACCATGTTCCTCTCCCACCGCCGCCGTCCCTTCG